TACTTATTATATAGAGCTATGTATATTGCTCTAGATTTCTTTTGGCCTTTCAATAATTGGAATCTTATTAGTATTGCAAATTTTACATGAAGTAAAATATGTGTAACATCAATCCTGATATACTTGATTATTAAGATAAAGATTATTATTATTATTATTATTATTATTATTATTATTATTATCGTTGAGATATGGAATGGGAATTAAAATTTCCTTTCTTGGCATACTTATTCCCCATTTCCCATTCGGTTATGTGTAATATAAAAATCAAAAATAATATTCGTCGTAACTTTTGTAATTATATTTACTTATATACAAGTTAATGTTAAATTCTTTCTGCAGTCTCTTTATTTCGATACAATACTGTGTAAATTCATAATTAAATTTCATCGATCTTATTATGAGCCTTGTGTATGAAAATTAGCAGAAGATATAAAATAGATTCCTACGAAAAAAGAAATGTATATACAAAAACTCATTTCCAATCTATATATCATAATACATTACTTTCGAATCGATAATGAATAGATCTTAATATAAAGTTTATAATTTTAATAATAGATCTTAATGATTTATATGATAAAAATAATTAAATACACAATTATATATAAAAATAATATAAAAAAATTTATTATATTTTGTCATCGGAAACTAAATATTAGTAGACAGGAAGTCGGGACTTTTATAAATTGTTGCTTGAATAAGATATACATGTTATTCTTACAGCTTGAAAAGTCTAAATGTCAAGGATTCTATAAAATAAAAATTTAAATATATAAAAACAATTATAAATCATCAATTTATAAATAAATATGATGTGTAACATAAAATCATTATCATTAATTGTGCCCCTGTAAGATTGGAGATATATGTGTACTCAGCCTTTTTTTATTCATAATCTTCTTCAAAATTTTGTTTTTATCTATCAGGATTATATGTTCATTTGTATACTTGATTACTGTTTTCACGATTAAACTAATAACTATTTGAATACTCATACGTAGTATATCGCATTATGATTAATCGATATCCTTCGCATGTTAAACTTCATCGAAAATAAAACATCTTGTTGGCCTCTCATCTATTGAAAGCTGTATAGTAATACATTACCGTTACATCTTTGTTTTGTTACAATATTTGTAATTCATTACGTATGATTAACAAGATAATAGACATGAAGAAAGATCATTTCTCGGATCAAATCGGATTCAAGACCTTATTTGATATCCTAGAAATGCTCCATCTTCGTGTTATTACCTTGATAGAACATAACAGATTACAACTATTGTAACAGAATACGAGTGTATAACATTATTTTTATTCTTGTTTAGTTACATCTAGAGAACTTATACGCTCTCGGTAGGACTCTGAAATTCTGAGAGTGCGTGTATAGGATTCTGTACTTTTTTTTGCGAACCTTTACGCACTTTCGCCCGCACTTCTTCTGGTCTCTCGGGACGAACTAATGGTTTTTTCTCCGGTGCTTTCATCTTCCATATGACGATAGGAGACTAAGAGAAATAAAAAAAATAATAAATTTGTATTATTAGCATTTTAATTATTAATTTTACGATTATGTCATTCGAAAATTAATTAAATGTTATTGTTATTTTTCAATATATTTGGTTGCACTATCTAGGCCAATTAAACTTTTTAATTGTTAATATTTAATAGCACTTTAATAAAATTCAAAAAAATTATATTTATACATGAATTATTTGCTAGATAGCGTATATACTTACATACTGAAAATCCATACATGTTAATGTATCGCAAAGAAAAATATCAAAAAATACGATAAGCAATTAATATCTTACTTAAAATCTTGCATAAAAATATATATCTAACGCTTATTATCAAAAAAGATTTTATCACCTTTTAATATGATTGAATTATCTAATTGAAATTTACCAATTGAGTAAATTAAATTTGATGAAAATTAAAAAATACAATGATTGATTGTAAGAGATCTTAAATATGATTAACTTAATTGCAATAATTTTTAGGAATGAATTAATGATACGTTAAGATTTAGCTATAAAATTGAGATGAGACTTACCGTTACCGTGGATTGTCGTGGGTACTTCGTCGATGCAACATAGGAAGCCTTAACGGTAAGCACGACAGCGTTCATCAAATTTTTGGCAGCTTGTATAAGAGAGGTTGCACTATCTAGGCCAGAAACGATCAATTCACCGCTAATATTTTGCACATCTGCCTTTACTTTACTTGTGATATTCATCTGATGACAGTAAAGTGCTATACGTTGCAAATAAGCAAGAAGATCCTTTTTCGTGGAACTTTCCGGGCACTGATCAGCGATCTGTCTCGTCAACTTATCCAATTTCGTGCCAGCTTCGGAGATCTTCTTTGCTGCGTTTATAACATCCATCGTCGTCTTCAAAGGACCACGACCGCGAGTAAAATCTGTCATCTCCATCATAATCATGCACATATGTTTAGCGAGAACGATGATATCATTGCCAGCGTCATCCCACTTTGCTACCTCCTTGTCGAACTTGAGCTTCTCGCTTTTAAAATACTCGACTTGCTGCAAGATCTTCTGCTTGTCCTCCTCTGGCATTTTCCGCATTGCTTCACGAGCAGTTGTGATACCGCTGATCTCCGGGTACTCATCCACGCCATGTTCGCCGGTTTGAGCGCTAGATTTGCTACGCGTTTCCAGTGTGTAATGCTCATCCAATTCCACATCCTCGGGATCCAGATCTTCATCCGCCTAAAAACAGACAATGAATTATAAACATTGAGAAAAAGAGCAATTAAACTTCAATATGAGGATTTTTTTACCCTATTCATAAGCACAGCTCGTCTGATCTCGCGAACTCCATCATACACCAATCTAGATGCATCAATGAAGTCATTCTCATCCACCTCCTGTGCTGGATTACTGCGCAGCGCGTTCACGGCCTCTTCCACTCGTTGCTCAAAGTTGGGCATCACTTGTTTTCTAAGAACTTTCACTGCCTCGAGGACTCGTTTGGTATAGATGCATGGTTCGTAATTGTCCATCTCGGCCTGCACAACATTGCATACCCTGGCGGAGCGGCCCAGTATCGCACCCGCGTGTCTGTCCAGGGTATCAGCATCACCGGGACGTACTTGCAATGCCAGAACGCACTTATTGACATCATCCAAAATGTGATTTTCAGAAACCGCCAAGAAATCGTCGATCGTAGTGATGTCATCCACGGCCTCCGTCAGTACGCGCATTTGATTCTCCCACGCTTGGCGGAACACCTTCATGTTTTCTTTTGCAACATCCGAATTTCTTGCGGCCCATACACGCGCTGCATTAATAACTTGCGGGCACAAATTCTCGATTTGCGCTGCAGCGTAACGAACCATTTTTACGCCATCTTCATTGTTAGACATACTGCATACCAAATTGGCAACCTATTCAAAATAAACAGTCTTCTTATTATGCAAGATACTTTGAAATGCTTGTAACATGTCCATTATCCAAATAATTATTGAATAAATAAACAAATCAATGTAATGATTTAATATTTGCACAGGCGTTTACCTCCACTAGCTTATTCGCGTGCTCTGTGAAAATGAGCGCATATTCTTCCACTTCTTTGACCCAACCTTTCTCCGCAGCTTCATACAAAGCTTGTAACGGTGCGCTTGTTTCCAGAAAACTGTCTGATACATGATCCACCACAGCTTTACGCAATTGTCTGCGAAGATCACGGGTCTTCCTGCACATATGATCTATCGCTCTTTCCAAGCCCTCGGATTGTTCTTTAACACCCATCTGTTGATATATATTATCAGTTAATTTCAGATATTTATTAAACTATTTCCATATTAACAGCTGTGAATAATTAATATTTAACATTGTTGTTAGTTTAAAATCGATTCATATTAGGAAAAGGATACGTAAATAAAATCAAAATAACATTATTAATATAAAATAAAATGTTTTCTAAAATATTATTTAATTATATCATCACTTTTAGCAACATATTT